TTCCCCTTCCCCTTCCCCCTCCCCTTCCCCTTCCCTCCCTCCTTCCCCTTCCCCTTCTTCCCCTTCCCCTTCCCTTCCCTTCCCTTCCCTTCCCTCCCTCCTTCCTTCCTTCCGAGCAGGGTCTTGTTGTGTAGCCTGAGCTGGCCTGGCTTCAGGCCTGTGAGGGATATTTGGAATGGGTGCTCCTTATTCTGGATAATGCCTGGCATTGTGCTGTACAAGAGAACCCCACCCGCAGGCACCAAAGAAAGCAGTGAGGACATGTAAGCCACTTACTCCTTAGTCTTGGCAGCAATTCTGCAGAATGGATCAATTAACTTGAGGTTCTGATCCGCTAAAAGCTGTAATTTAGACAGAAAACAGAGGGCAAATGAGGGACAGATAGGCTTTTCTCTTTTCGGACATGTTCCTGCCCCCTCCCAGGTCAGATCAACTGCCTAGCGGCCTGAGCTAGCCTTTCTCTGGTCTTGTGGGTGTTTTAGTACAGTGACCCAAAGAACCATCAACTGGTCAGGGCTGCGCTGCAGCACTCACGTCCTGAGATAGCTGGGTGTGGTGCCCGCCCAGCAGTGGGCCCTGGCTATCTCCAGAACTACAGGGAAAATGAGTTCTATGTGGATGCCATCTCAGAGCATGAGACAAAGGCGTTTTTTTTTTTTTTTAATTTTATTCATTCATTCATTGATTTAGTGTGTGCATGTGTCGCCACTCTTAAAAATACACTATAATTTCTTTTACTTAATATACATACACAATTGTATGTATATTACACATTCTGATACTACACAATGTCAAAGAGCATAGTAAAAACTGTTTATATCCCCTGAGATAATCATCTTTATCTAAAAGTATACCTTTTCTTTCCAGCGTTTTATCTATTTATATTAGGTATAATCTGCATAGTGTTGTCTACTGCCTTTCCCCCACAGCTTCTAAAATACTCAGTATTTTATCCTGATTTTTTTATACCGGACTCTGTAAATTGGTTTTAACTCTTTCTACAGGGGAAGAGGCAGGGTCTTGTTATGTAGTACAGGCTGCCCTGGAACATGAGATTTAGCTGTTTCAAATGCTCAGATGATAGATGTATGTGTACCCCCACGCCTGAACTTGGGGCTCTCGTACTCCTGGCAAACGACTCTCCTGCCTCAGCTTCTCCAGCAGCTGTGTGTGGCTCAATCCTACTTTATAGGTAAGACTGCTACAGAGGCACAGTGTGGTGCTGTGCTGTCTAAAAGTCCACTAGCTGTCCGAGACGCAGTCGACTCCAGAAGTTAAAGAGGGGGGGCTCCTCTGACAGTACCCATGGTGACCCCAGCATGGTGATCCCATCACACTGCGGCTGGCGGCGCTGCTTCTCACCTCTCTCCCTCCCACAGTGGAGAGCTCATCCAAATAAACGTCAATCAAGTGGGCTCTCACTCCATCGGGAGACTGACTCTCGGGATTCAGGATCTCCTTCATCAAGATGTCCAAAAAAAGTTTGATTTGGCTAGAGAACAACAGAAAACAAACCAACCACACAGTTTTGTTTTGTTTTATAAAAAGACATGATCACCGATACCTCCCTCTTCTCAAAGAGCAGACAAAAATAATGAGTTTACTGCTCATACTGCAGAACAATCACCCTGAGGCCTAAGGGGAAGAAAACAGTTACCCTGATGAGCATCAACTGACTTTTCCACTCCACTGGCTTTAAACCCCCTTTGGATCAGATCTATTTTGCTTCTCATAGCACTACATAGTGGTAGGCATAGATGAGCCAATTCATGCTTTTGATGACCTGAAATCTTAGAGGACCCTATTATTCTAGAAGGATTTTTGGGGGGCACTAAGGATCAAAACTAGGGCCTCATACCCATTAGGCAAGCACTCTACCACTGACTCATCTAGCAACTTTGACATGCTTTTAATGTCACCATATGTTAATGCCGACAGTTTACCAACCTCTCTTCCCAGGCATTCCGCTTGAGAACTTCGAAGCACTGCCTCAGGACCAGGCGGATCAGCTAAAGGTCGGCATTTTTATAATAAAAGAAAAAAGAAGTCATCATCTTGGCAGAACAAGGAGCCCAACAATGGATCCCCACAGTGAGACAACATCCTTAAATCTATTGTAACCCCTGAATCAAAAACATTATGTGCCTGGACCCAAGAGCCAGACACCAGCCTGCACAGCACACAGAGACTCCGCCTCACAACCCCCAGAAAACACACCTCAAGATGTGACCACTGCATTCTGCCACACTGTGCCTGGCTTTCCACTGTTCTCTTGCTGGGGATGGAAGCCAGGTCTCAAGAATGCTGGCAGGGCAGCTCTTGTCCTAGAACCTCACAGCCATGTCCTGGGGTGTCGTTTACCTTCTCCCCAACAGCCTTTCTCCTTCTTAACTCTAGTGTTTACAAGCTATATTAAGATCATTAGCCAGGGGGTGGTGGTGGTGGTGGTGGTGGTGGTGGTGGTGGTGGTGTACACCTTTAATCCCAGCACCTGGGAGGCAGAGGTAGGCAGATATCTGAGTTCAAGGCCAGCCTGGTCTATACATAGTGAGTTCAGGACAGCCAGGGCTACACAGAGAAACACTATGAAAAACCAACCAACCAACCAACCAACCAACCAACCAACCAACCAACCAACCAACCAACCAACCAAAACTCCCCTCCAAAACCCTCTTGGCAAACACCAAATCAGCTTCAAAAAGAGAAAAGAGTAAGAAAAACCGGCAGGTAAGAGGTCTACCACTGAGCGGCACCCCCAGCTCTCTGCTGGTCCTCTAACAGAACATTCCGTGTAGAAGCTCAAGTCAGTGTGGAGGAAGGCACCACCTTACCATGCAGTACTTGTCCAGCCGCAGCTTGTCTATCCCTTGCCACTCTCGATTCATGGTTTGCCAGAAGGTCTGAATGAACAGGTGTTCTGCAAGAACAAGGGTTCTCAGGGCTCGGGTGCCACAGGAGCACACGGCTAGGAGGAAGCGGCTGAGAACACACCTGGTTCTCTCTACATAGCCATCTCAAGACTTCTTGGACAGGTGGAGTATGCTCAGTAATTTCCTTTACAGCTACATAAGGACATTACAAGATGACACTATGGGCATCTCTTAAGCAGAATGCCCCCCAAAGCACTGTTCTTTATCCGCCCCAAACCCACACTTCTACTAGTTCCTGAAGGCACCCAACGGCCCTCTCTACTACAGCTGCACCTGACAATCAATCCCAACCCACTAATTTTGATGAGCAGCCTTACAATTCATGCACAAATGCAGATCTTTTTCTGATATTAGGTGTTGTCTGAGTGAGACACAGAACTACCATCTTTAAAACTGGAAATCTTTCCTTATTTACTGATTTTTGAACGTCTCCACTTCCTTTTACATAGGGTTTGGCTGTTACCCGGGCTGGCCTGGAGCTCCCAAACCTCCTGCCTCAGCCTTGTGAATGTACCATCATGCCCAGCGCAATTTATTAACAAATGAAATCTTTACTATACAACAAATGTAGATTTTACACGTTGCATGTCAGCTGGGACTGAGAGGACCAACCAGGGCCACCGGGGTGGGAAATGCCAACCAGAACGAGTTGCTGCCCACCTTCAGAAAAATCTTTCCTTTTAGGCAGAGAAGGGTTACTTTACACTTTACTACAGGGCTTTATGGCCACAGTGGCGCTAATCTTGGCCAGAATGGATCTGCCAGGTTACTGTATGCACTGGCATATGTGCCACCGCTTCTAAGTGTGAGAGTAACCTGAATTTGGAGATGTTGGAGGAGGGGTGATCGGCCTTTGGATGCCAGACGATCTCTAGTCACTTAGCAGCTGACACCAGGCACAGCAGTCTTGAAAACAATTCACAGCACGTGACATCTGTACAATGCTAGCAAGAGGCTCCCGCATCCCTAACACCTAGGGGACCCAACTTCACGGGAGGGAGGCACTGACTAGGTTCCCTGGGTAAGCTACCAACCCTGCTAACAAGGAAAACGGCAGGACTTACGAGCCTCCGAGCTGTTAACAACATGGATGAGTTGGGAAATAATGTTCGCCAGCTCCTCCTGCAAAGGTGGGTTGGGGAGAAACATGGGTTATTAGGTAGTCCCACTGTGGCGGCAGCGGTACTGTGAGCTGTACCCCCCTCCCCCTGTGGTGAGAAAGCCTGCGCCTAGTCTAGGTCTGTGGCTGACACACCTGGGTTTTACTAAATGTGAAACTCCGAACTTTAGTCAACTACTGGGTTAATGTGATATTTCTGAAAAAAATCTAACACTATGTGTTCAAGAAAGCATCTCTGGTTAAGAGGTTGAATGATTCCAGGAGAAATAATCTCACTGCCAACTTCTGCCCACCCCCCCTTCCCTTTTTGAGACAGGATTTCTCTCCATAGCTCTAGCTGGCCTCAAACTCACAGAGATCTGTCTGCCTCTACCTCTGAGTACTGGGATTAAAGGTGTGCATTACCACACCCCATCCCTGGATTTAACATATAAACTAAATACAATCTATCATAAAAGCCAGAAGGTACAGTACCACCTTGCTGGTGCTTGTACAATAGGGTTTTCACTCTAGTCTTCTGCTAGACCTGGTCATGTTGGCTGGAATGTCAACAGACTCCTCTAGGTTGTGCTCTGGGCAAAACTGAAGAGCATGTGGAGGCACAGTAGACTCCATTTGGCAGAACTAAGGGGCTGGGCCTAGGAAGAAGCCTTCCATCTTCCAGCTACCTGAAGATGAGCGCCCTTGCTGGCCCTGCTCACGTCTCCTGTGCCCAGAGTTCCTTATTCATCTTGAATGAATTCCAAGACTTGAAAATGATGTTCCTTTTTGTTAGTTCTCTTCCTCCACTAAAGCTGCTTGTTGCTACTTCTGAATATAATCTTACAATATTTTGCCCTGCTATCCCACTCAAAATATGTTCAGTAGAATCAACACAGTGAACTGGGACAAGTCACCTCATGTCCCGAGAAAAGTAGCAAGGCTTCCTATACAAGGTAAGTGCTACCCAAGAGGACTCTACCCTGGGGCTGTGAGTTGTGACCCATACCCCCTGCTACTGGGGGGAGGGTCTAGTTTCAGACAGCAGAACAAACTCTTCTATGGTTGTATTGGTGGCAGCCTCAGTGGGCAGGGAGAAAAGCTCCACTGTGTATTCTGGCCACCAGTGCAGCCCTTGGCACTTTAGCCTGCCTGCTTGGGCACTAGGCCCTCTGGGACATTCACCAGGCCCCCGCTGTGCTTCTGACCATGCATCAACGGAAGAGAAAGTGGAATCATTAAAAACGTTGTGTAAAACCTACCACGGAAGCTACGAAATGATGAGAGCAATAGGGGATCTATGACCTAGCATGTCCGACATGTCTGAAAGCACAGCCTGAGTGCCTGCTGCCCCTTCCTGAGGGGACAAGAGCTGAGACAATGGCTCCTTGAAGCATTCACTCCCATCTGTTTGGGGACGGCAGCAGACTGGCGGAGCGTAAACCATCAAGTCTCTTATCCACCGTGGCAAAGGTCCAGGAGTATGACGAGGGCTGTGTTACCTGCAGAAGGGGCTCGTCCTGCACCCACATGCAGTAGAAGAGTCCTTTCCATATTTTTAGGAGTTCTTCCTGACTGAAACTTCCTGTGGGAGAGAACAGCACAACCACCTTAGAGTCTACACTCTTTCCTTGATGTTTACAGATGCTACGATACAAGCGGCAAAATTACTGCATACATTCCCTTCCTCTGCACACCTTTCCCCAAACCGGAAGCATAACCTCATGCTAATGGCTAATGTTCTAAGCATGCCAAGTACAGGTAACCACTACTGCACAGTGTCACTACTGGCCAAAGGAGGGTGGCAATGGGGGCAAGTCCTTATCACCAAGTGTGACAATAAAACCAACCATACACCTGGTAGACCAGTTGCCAAGCACATTCAGGCCTTGAACTCATCCCTTGAACCAACAAGGGATGAAAGGAAACTTCACTGATCTTAATGATGGACAACTTCAAGTCCTATAAAAGATGCAAGGTTCTCCAGTCACTAAATGCCCAATCAAGTGGCAGAACCATTCCCAATCTACTCCCAAGGACAGACGATGGGCCAGTGAGCATCACAGTTCTGCCGAGGGGTACGTTTAAAAGGGTCCTGCTACAGGCAAAAGTCAGCCATGTTCCATCTTCTCACTGTGCCAGCCATCATTTCCTGGGCAGTTCTCAACACAGCGTCAGTCTGTTGGAAGTGGCATGTCTAGAGGGGTCCTGGGCCTGTTCCAGGTGTCAGGAAGCAAAGATGGCCGTGGATGAGGAGGCCGGAGAAGCAGCAGCACTTTAGGCTGACGTGCCTCACAAGGTCTCTATCTGCCTGAGTGGAAAGCAACAGTCTTTTCAGCAGTACACTGGGACAAACGAGACGAATGAAAACAAGTTTTGTTTGTTCTGAGACAGGGGTTCTCTGTATAACAGCTCTGGCTGTCCTGTAACTCACTCTGTAGACAAGGCTGGCCTTGAACTCACAGTAATCCGCCTGCCTCTGCCTCCTGAGTGCTGGGATTAAAGGTGTGCATCATTGTGCCTGGCTGTTTGCTTAGCTTTCTGAGACATGGTCTCGTTACTTAGCTCAGGCTGGCCTTGATATTTATGATCCTCCTGCCTCTGTGTTCCACCTCACACAGGTGGAGTATTAGTTTAAGATGTGTTACATTCATTCATGCTGTGTAATATTTGTTTAATGATGCAAAGAAGCGTTGCATTCTTTTATGTTGCATTTGTTTAACTCTGTAAAGCGGTGTTACTATGCCTGTCTAAAACACCTGATTGGTGTAATAAAGAACTGAATGGCCAATAGCAAGGCAGGAGAGAGAAGTAGGCGGGACTGGCAGGCTGAGAGAATAAATAGGAGGAGAGATATAGGCTCAAGGGAAGAGAGAAGAGGAAGAAAAAATAAAGAGGGAAAGGAGGACACCAGGGGCCAGCCATGGAGTAAGAAGGGAAGGAAGATATATATATATATATAAATAAAAGCCCAGGGGTGGAATGTAAAGAGAAATGGGTTAAGTTAATTTAGAAAAGCTGGCTAGAAACAAGCCAAGCTAAGGCTAGGAATTCATAAGTAAGAATAAGTTTCCATGTATTTATTTGGGAGCTGGTGGCAGGCCTCCAAAGAGTAAAAAAAACCCAAAAAACAAAAAACCCAACTATGCACACAATCAAGTACATATTTGAATCCGGTGTGCTATTAACGGTAAAAGACAGTGTTAAAATGACAAAGAACCCTTGTAAGGGACTAGTGGGTCTGAGGTGTACTCAGTGAGCAAACTTTATTCTGATTGACTTCCAACTTACTGAAGAGTCAGCCGTCTCTGGGCTGCGAGATGGTGCAGTAGGTGAGACCATCTGTGAGGCAAGCATGAGGGAGGACCTGATTGAGTCTTCAGTTCCATATAAGCGCCTGTGATTTCCAACTGTCAACCAAGCCTAGCAGACCCACGAAGGTTCGGAGTCAGAGACCCCATCTTTAGAGGTTAGGATGGAGAGATAGTGGAGGCCAAACTACATCCTCCTATGGCTTTCACAAGTGTGTGCATGCACACGCACCTCACAAACATTCCCCCAAAAAAGTTTTTAAAAGAGGCCTGTTTCCTTTCAATATCTTTATAATGTTGCATTTTGATTCTTTTGTGACAGTTTTCCACTTTAAACCAAGATGGCAAGTGTGGTAGCACATGCCTTTAATCCCCATACAGATGCAGGCGGAGTCCCAGCCAAGGCTACGTAGCAGGACTGTCTCATACAAAGAAACCACCCACAAATCCCAAACACCAGGATAACAGAAACCATAGTAGAGTTAGCTAATCAAAGCACATTTCCTTAAGAAGCCACACACAAGATGTGCCAACCAGCCTCTCTCAGAAATGTAAATATGGCGCACATCCCCAGCACATGCCCGATGGCAGCTCCAATGGCCGACCTTTCTTGTTGTGGTAACCTACACCTTTGTTGATCATGCTCTAAGACTGCGCATGTCCCTGGAGAACTGGTGGATCTGTGTGAGGACTGGTGACTACAGAAACCACTTTAGACCACTTGGGTCAGATCACACCAAAACCATCAGTTGGAACTTATCACAGAAAAAAACCAAAACCAAAACAAAAAACCCCACACAGAGCAGACTAAGTAATCTAAAAAATCGGACTTGTACCTCTGATGACTAGTTTATAGAAACCTAGAAGCAGAGCTACACGTTAAATAGACGAGGGTATGGCATTCTAGAAGACAAATGACCCGCATTCCATAACAGACAGCACAGGAAAAAAAGATAAAGAACTTCTGGAAATGAAGTCTGCACATATTCCAGTCAAAACAGTCTTGTTTAAACTGACATAAAAACAGAAAAGATGGTGAGAAAAATTCAGCAT